TTTAAGAGTAGCCTTCAGGAACCTCAACAAGGAGGCATTCACAACCTTATACACAACATATGATAGGCTCATCTTTCAATATGAAGAGGCAGTATGAAATCCGCATATGATAAAGAAAGTAAAGAAGCTGGAAAGAGTGTAGAGGTTTGCTACAAGGCTAGTTCCAGAGCTAAGGAGAGATTAGAGGAGCTAAACCTGACGACATTAGACGTCAGAAAGGCCAAAGGGGATATGATTACAATGTACAAAATACTAAGAGGAATTGATAGGGTGGACAGGACGAGTTTGAGGCAGGTCTCCGGTACACGAGGGTACAGCTGGAAGTTAAAAGCAGATAAGCCGTAGAGATGTCAGGAAATACTTCTTTAGCCTTTCAGTGGTCAGGAGGTGGAAAAACCTAGACAATGAAGTGGTAGAGGTGGTATCTATACATAGTTTTAAGAATAGGTATAATAAGAGTTTATGCATCCAGGAGAATGTGAACCAAGTAGCAGTCAGTGGAGAAGGGTCAAGAGCTAAGACTCGACCCCTGCAAGCTCAATTAAGTGAGAGCACTTGGTATGTACGTACACACACACACACACTTTCCAGAAAAGAATACAAGGACAACAACGAAGCAACGGCTGACATCACAGCAACAGCAGCAGCTCAGAGGGCACATAGCCCTAAACCAAAGCTGTTTATCAAGAGCAACTTCAGTCACAAAGTAGATTGGGAGAATTGGGATCAACATGGTGGACCTGGTAAAAACAGAGGAGAGCTCAAGAAAAATGAAAAGAAAGTCTGTGAAGTGTTGATCATGCAATTTAAAGAGGTGTCAGTGGAAACAGAAACAATACCAGGTACTGGATGACAGTAAAAAAGGGAGAGGAAAAAATACTAATGATGGCCTAGAATACATTAAAGGCTATTGGGCCTGATAAAGTGCTAGCATGGTTTCTGCCAGAGGAAGCAGAACCACTAGTTAAGATTTACAAGTCAATGGGACAGTTGCCAAAGGTCTGAAGACATGGAATGTAGTCCCTGTAATTAAGAAAGCAGACAGACAGGAAGCTCTGAACTACAGACCAGCTTCTCTAACATGCATATCATGCAGGGTGATGGAGAACATTACCAGGAGATAGAACACTTGAAAAGATCCGGTTTAAAAAAAACGATGGGGGGGGGGATGGGTCGAGTGCATTAGACTGTAAGAAGGTATCTGATACCATGTGCCACAAGAAGCAGGGCAAAAACTCAAGAAGCAGATTGGAATAAAAAGAAATGTACTCTACTGGATCAAAGAGTACCCTTGAAAAGTAAACAAAGCTAGCTTTTCCACTCACTTCCAAACACCCTAGTATTCACTTCTTTTACAACCCCATCTATAAATATGTTAAATATCGTGGTGACATTACACATACCAAAGGCCTACTTTTATTGGCAGTCTCCCTCTCTCCTACATAACTTTTTTTGAGCAGGAATATCCATATTTTCTGTATTTGCACATAACGTTAGTTCATACATTTTACAAGGTTATGCTTTACAAACCTGTTAGGAAAGAAAGGGAGTGGTAGATTTTATATTCCTAGATTATAAGGCATTTGATAGTACCATATAAAAAGCAACTTAAATTGGAAAAAGGAGATGTACAAACAAGGATACAAAATCATTACCTCAAACCTCTACCCTAAAATGCACTCAGTGGCCATTTTATTAGGTACACCTGCTCGTTAATGCAAACTTCTAATCATCCAATCGCATGGCAGCACCTCAATGCCTATACTCCAGTTCCCCAAATTGAGCCTGAATACCTTCCACATCCCCCTCCCCCCCAGGTGCTGTATAATCCTACGGGTTTAGTGCTCCCCCCTTGATTATAATAATAATAATCAATGCCTATAAGCATGCAGACATGGTCAGGAAATTCAGTTGTTGTTCAGACCAAACATCAGAATGGGGAAGAAATGTGATCAAAAGTAAATCAAAGTGACTTTGACCATGGAATGATTGATGGTGCCAGACGGGGTGGTCTGAGTATCTCAGAAACTGCTGATTTGCGATTTACACACACAACAATCTTTGGAGTTTACAAAGAATGGTGTGAAAAACACAAAACATCTCCTGAGTGACAGTTCCAAGGGAAAAAATACCTTGTTAACAAGATGTCAGAGGATGGCCAGACTGGTTCAAGCTGAAAGGAAGGTCACAGTAACTCAAATAATCACACATTACAACAGTGGTATACAGAAGAGCACCTCTAAATGCACATGTTGATAATTGAAGTGGATGGGCTACAGCAACAGAAGAGCACACTGAGTTCCACTCCTGTCAGCTAAGAACAGAAACTGTGGCTACAGTGGGCACAGGCTCACCAAAACTGGACAGTTGAACATTGGAAACCGTTGCTGGATCTGACAAATTCCGATTTCTGCTGCAACTTTCGCCATCATTCACACTATCACATGCCAAAATATTCAATGCATTTGCTTATTTTTTCAACTGTGGAGGGTGTTACTTTGTCACTTAGTACTCTCATGCCATATAAAACTGTCTACATTCAACTGCCTCCAGCATACATAAAGGGGAGTACCAATAGACCCCTAGTTGTCTTCAAGAAGGGAGCTGGGCAGGTACCAGACAGAGGTTTGTATGTTGGTTTGCACGTGGCTGGCAGTAACCATCTGGTTGATCAGTCCCTGACCCATTATGAGGCCTGGTCATGGGGGCTGTTGACCCCCCAGAATACCCTCCAGGTATACATGGATTATGACACCCTTCAAACACATTCTGCTTCAAATGAAGGCCAAAGTAAGTTTTGCAGTAATTATATTGGCATATTATATTTATGGTGAACTGCTAATTGCATAAAGGCCATGTAGCACTTAGGCAATGAGAGGTAATCAGGTTTGATCCAAGAAGGGCAGGGCAGCTCCAGATTCTTGATTTAAAAGCCCATCGCCAGCATTACAGTTTCATTGACAATAGAATCGCAAAGGCTGTAGAAATCGTAAATACTGTATTTTAGTGTTCTATTGTTAAACATGCAGGGAACCATTAACATCATACCTAATCCAGCTACAAATTATTATAATTCAACAAGTAAATTTACAATTAATTTTAGTCAGCAAGATAATTAAGCAAAGATTATCTCTAAACTGACATCTTGCTGTATTCTGTATAATTACATAATGATGAACAAGTTAGCAACCAGATTACTATGTGTACTTATGTAGCCAAACATTATCTTGATCATATCCATTCAGCATAAATTTGGGGTGAAAGAAGGGAAGGATATGGGTCATCCCTGGATGGGTTGGAAGGGGGGGGGGTAAAGGAGGTTTTTGAGTGTTACAGGCTTGAAAATTTAACGGGTTTGTGTGATTGCATCAGATTGTGGCAGGTGGAGACAAAGTTGTTTTTATGACAATGTAATGTTGGAGTGTGAGCAAGGTAACATTTATAAGAGGATTCAGGGACACTTGTTAGCCAGACTCAAGGTCCTGGAGTTGGGAAGTACAATACCCACCCATTATAATGCAGCTCATTATAATCACGGGGGAGCGCTAAACCCATAGGATTATACAGCGCATGTGGGGGGGGGTATGGAAGGTATTCAGGCTCAATTCAGGGAACCAAATCATAGATCCAATTCCCTAGATCAAGAGCCCCTCACCAGCGTCAAGGAACTTCCCCTGAGGGGACCTGTTGCAGCTCAGAGGATCATTTTTTTTTTTTCAGCTATTTCTGTGGGAGCTAGACAATGTTAAAATCTATTAGGCCAATTAACTCAAAATGTTCAGTGTACTTATTAAGCAATGGATCTGTTGTAAATTGTTAAGCCTTTAAGCTTCCTTTTTGTTTATTTAAACTCATTAGTAGTTTCCTACTAAGGGAAGATGATCCATAAAATGACAATCTCACTCTTAGGTGTCTCTCCAGGTGCTGACCAACCAAGTCACATCACCACTTCACTTTCGAAGTGCAGGCACTACTTTCCAACCTCCAAAACTTTAAACTGCTTTGTCAGATTTCCTAAATACTTTCATAGATATTACCTTAGTCACACTCCAGGAGCAGGTCAAATCCTATGGGACACTTGACCTCCACTCATTCCAACCTTCCTTTAACATGTTCCCATGTACGTGATGGAAGTCAAAGCCCCTATTTCTAAATATCTTTTTCCCACCAACCTTCAGCCTTCTCTCAGGTGTACCCTACACCACTTTTCATCCATTACAATTTCTTTTTTAACATGGCTATTAAGAAAAATACTTTCATCATCATTCAACACTTTCACCATCACTCATACATAATCACTGTCTTTGCAGCGGTGTTCAGATACAACAGTTTAGAAGTCCCTCCAAACTGCCAATATCCCAAACCCCTCCTTTAATTTATATATCCTATAACTATCTTTCTATATTATTATTATTATTATAATAATCAAAAAGAAGTGCTAAGCCACAAGGGCTATACAGCTATCTTTCTATAGATGACCAAAATATAATCTTAAGACACTTACCCCACACCTTTCACACAAATGAATTTCACTAATTTTTTTTTTATACTGTATTTGCTCCATATTTGCATCACACATTAATTTGTCATTGTGTTACCACTACTACCAATTTCCTCCTTGCTGCAACATTCAAGGATGCTGCTTCATATCCATACAAAAAAAGCATTTTAACTAATACATATACTCTGATACATTCCACTGACAAGCCTTTCCTTCACAAACCTGACACTCCTTTACTTCACACTCATCTACTCAGACATCCATTCCTAGGTATCTGAATACAGGCACTTCTTTTATATTCCTAGCTTCCATTCTAACCTCTTATTTTATCCCCATACTTTATTTTTTCCTCATTACCTTATTATAATCTGCATTCCCTTTTAACATATTTTAATCCCCTTTAAAACTTATCTACAAATACAGTTCTAATTTTTCCTTTATACAATAGTTTTTAAATGCAAAACTGATTTATGGAACAAAATTTGGATATAAAAAAAAATTGAACATCACCATTTATTTGTGAACAGAAATTACCTATACAGTATAATATATGCATTATCCTTAATGGTATATTTTTACACAAATAATTTTTATATTTTAAGTATTATGATTATGTAATTATTATTGTTATTATTATTATTAGTAGTACTAGTACATGTATATATTTAACCAAATAAAACAGCTTTTGCAAAATAAATTTAATAAATAACTAAAATGCTGCAGAGCACTCCAAATGGGTCTCGCATTACATTCTTTGTAAGTGTAGTATTTGTGTGCTATAATACTACTTGATTTTTGAAGAATTTTTAATAACTATTTTCTTTTCATGCACTTGTACTTTTAGGTGGCATTACTTTTGCGACTTTTCTTCGTTCTGTTCGACATTTGCATTTCATTGTTGTCCATGAGGCAGGGACTAGTGGATGACCTTCTTCACAATAGGCAGTTACTACTCCCAACTCAGTGCCAGCAGTAGAGAGCTCGTAGTTCCGTAGGTCACCAAGTGAGAGAACAGCTGCTAAAATAATGTCATCTGGACGAAAACAATTGTACATCTCTACCTAAAAGAGAAATGCATGATAAACTTCTTTTAAGAAAATGTATGATAAAACTTCTTTTGAGAAAAGAATAAGATTATCAAAATGATCAGCTATAGTACAGGTACAGCACTTATTTTCTGGCAACAGATGGTAAGACACCTCCCTTAATCCAGACAAAATTACAAGGGCAGCCACGTATTATACTGTGTGTAGCACATGCTCCCTTATATTGTTTACACTGCAGTTCTTCTTTGTAATCCTAAGATTTAATGTGGTCTTTAGTGGGTTTTACTGGTATTTAACCCTTGCTAAGGCTATGGTTAATATCTATATTAACTTCCAGTAGCTATGGCTATTGAGACGTTAATAGAGTTGTTAGGTGATGGAACATGAGATAATGAATTTCTATTTGAAGTGTTAAAAACTACTCTGCTTGGATGAAATGTTTAAAAAGATGGCCAAGAAGAATATGTCATAGCAGTAGGCCTACATATGAAAATCCTGTAACTTCAATTTCAAGTACCCCAGATATCTTCCCTCCAACATCACAAATCCATGATGAAACAGTCAACTATGAATAATAATACGTATAATCAAATTAAGTGCTAAGCCCAAAAAGGGTTACACAATGCCACAGGATAGGGTGTGCTAAGGACAGAAGGATATGTAGAGGTCAGGAACAAGTATGGGGCAGGAGTGTGCAAAAGTAAGGGTTAGTGGAAGTGGTGGAAAGTGCTAAAGGTAAAATACAATTGAAGTTGATGTAATAAGTTAGCTTCTGTTTAAAAGTCAAAGAGAAAGTCTGCTTCAAAGGTGAGACTCTCCATGAGGTCAGTGTTGGGGCAGTGATGAAGTCAAAAGTGAATTCCACAAACCCACTGATAGACAGGACAATCCATTAACCCTTTTAGCAGCAAATGTGTATACATTCTATGTCATGAGCTCGGCTCACTCAGATAAGCCTAGATATGAGAGAAGGGTCTATGTGAAGACTGTAAAAAATTTGGAAGGAGCAAAATTCTGACTACATGTATGGTTTAAAATAGCAACTTTGATGGTTTTTATATTTTTTGTCAGCTATTTCTTGGTATCCTAAGTCTGATTCAATTACTGGAATGCTGTAGACCATGACACAGAGATTTTCAAGCAGCTTGTCTGAGAATAGGAGTGAGTATTAGTGTCAGCATCATCTATTACAGGTAGAGGTCACTTGGATGGAGGCCTCAAGGTAATCTGTCCTGTGATGTACAAACGACCCAAAAATTGATGCATCACCATGGCAGAAGACTGGATCATAGTCAAAGTCAGGCAAAAGTCAGAAGTATCAAAAGGGTCAGTGCCCTTTGCCCTCTCTCTCTTTTTCTCTCCCTCTCTGAGAGAGAGAGAGTGGGTGCATGTGCATGCATGCTTACCTGTTTGTGGTTGCAGGGGTCAATTCACAACTCCTGGCCCTGCCTCTTCACTAGTTGCTACTAGGTCCACATTCTACCTGCTCCAAGAGCCTTATTGTACCTCTTCTTAAAGCTATGTATGGATGCTGCTTCCATTACTCTAAGGCTGAGGAAATACTTTCCCCCTTCCCCTCTTATTTAAGCCTCTCTCATTATCACTACACAATACTGAATCCCTAAGGTAAAAATACGCAAATTACACAGATTAAATATACATTGTTCTTAAACTCACAGTGTCAATTTGGTAGTCTCGAACATTCTGTTTCTTGACAGTGCCAGAGACAGGTGAATGCAACTTGTTAGAACCAACACAGATGATTAGCACTGTTGCTTGGTTAGGGTTGACACTCAAAACACGGCAGGTTACAACACTACCAGCTTCTGGCATCACTGTACCTTGTCGTCCCAAGGTAACCTGAAATACACAACTTGTATGAAGGACAAGATTTCAAAATCACTATTTTATTGAGAGGGGAAAGTGCTAGTACTGAACCTAATGTGGTCATACAGCACCTTGGAAAACAGAAGGCAATCAGATTTGATCCAAGGAAGGGTGGCTCCAATTCTTTGGATCAAGAGCTCTTGAAGGGTTCAAAAACACCAGAAGAATGCTTTTCCTCAAGTAAATACTATATTATACAATAGCAACAACAATTTTACTGTTTTTACTTGATGCTAATTATGCCTTATAACGAACATTCACTGTTCGTCTTAGGAAGTTAAAAATATAACTATCTACTGAAAAATATAAATAAGGGAGATACAAAGCAGTAAGTGGTAGGCAAGATACAAGAAGGAAGAGGGTTTGGTTGGCAGATAAGATCAAGTGGAAGGTAAGATATAACAAGGAATAAAGGGTCAGCAGGTAGAAGAATATATGGTAAGATATAAGGGGAAGCCAGTAGTAGGTAGAAAAGAATAAGTAGCAGGTGAAATATAATAATGAAGGGAAGAGTTAGTAGGCAGAAGAGAGTAAGTGGTAAGTGAGACCTGAGGAAGGAGGAGCCAGTAGGTAAAAAAAAAGAAAAAAAGAAACAAGAACAAGTGGTGAGATAGAAGGGAACTAGAGGGATGTCAGTATGCAGTAAGTAGAAAAGTGTATGTAGCAGGTGAGATAAAAGGGAAAGGGAGGTTCAGTAAGTAGGAAAGGAGTGGCATTAATTATTATATTTGACAGGAAACACTGAATTTTTCAAGATGATACAGTATATGGTAATCAGGCTTGATCCAAAGAAATGGAAGGCAATGCTAAATCCTCAGATCACAAACCCTGTAACTGTATCAAGGCATTCATCTTTATGGGAGTGAAATTATACAAGTTAAAGAAGGCTGTAATTAAAATAAATGACTGATTGAAGAAAGGTTGACAAGAATAGAGAAAATACTGAGCAAGATATGGAAAAAAGGCAGTGAATATTATAATGAAGTTAGAATGTACAGTATTACTAATATACTGTATAAACAAACTATCACATTAAAACTTGAAGACGAGACATTAGTGAATAATTTATTGAAGCAACTGGAAGCACTAGCTGGCAGAATTTAATAATAATGTGCCTAAATATTACTGTAAAAAAATTTAAAAGTCTACAATAACACTGCCCTCAAATAACCCAACAGATCACAGTGCATAGCCAGAGACTACTTGTAAATAGTCCATGGCAAATTATATTCCTCAGATCCACTAAGAGCATAGCTATGCAAAAAATATTTACCAGGCTTAATATCCCAAGAGCTATCAAAAAGATATTCAACAACACTAACCAAACTAATAAAGCAACTACTATGCTAAAAGACTCAACAAAAGAAGATATAGTACGTACAGTATTAAAAGAGACCTGGAAAATACTATCATATACTGGGTTCTAGTAAAGTGACTAAAACAAAAGAAATATTAAGTAAGCCTAATGAACCTCTCATACTCATCAGTGAAAGGGAAAATAAATTAAATTACAGGTACTGTAATTTCTTTCAGCTACTGGGTCAAACCTAAATTAAATTAATTTTTTTATTTCTTTGCATAATATACAATGTGTGATTTACATACTATAAAATACTGTTAAGTACAAAGAAAGCCACTAACATGCCTGAGCATTTTAGGCAGAAAAACAGTCAGGAAAATCCCAAATTCCCAGCCAAGGTAAAATTTCCTTAGGGCTTATTACTCAAGGCCAACTACTTCCTCAAAGGTAATCTCAGTAATAAATTTGCCGAACAATTCCTTAGCTCATGTGTTAAAAAAAAAGCTGCTGAATGTAACATCCTGCTCTAAAACTAAAACATTATGGAATAAGAGGCCATGCACTCTCCTATATAATGTTCTGCCTCAATGACAAACTGACATGTGACTTTAAATAGCACAAATTTAATTACTCAACCAATCAAACACACTGGTGCTGGGAGATAGCATCCTAGGATCACTATTTCTCTTTTACATCAATGGCCTTCCAAAGGTGTTTTAACAACTTAAACAGTGTTATTCATAGACAACACTATTTTCACCTACAATCTAGATCTGGTTGACCTGAACAACATGGTCATTGTTCAACTAGGATAAAAGCATTAGCTTGCATATTTCAAATCCTACCTTACTAATAGGTATCAGTATGTCACCATTAAAGACACACCATCATCAACACAGCCACTTGATAATGGAGTTCCACAGGGAAGTGTCCTTGGACCCCTGCTCTTCCTCATTTACATCAATGATCTTCCAAACGTATCCCAACACCTGAAACCCATTCTCTTTGCTGACGACACAACTTGTGTCATCTCTCACCCTAATCTTGCCACCCTCAACACCATTGCTAACAAGGAGCTGCTCAAAATATCAACTTGGATGACAGCCAATAAACTTACACTTAAAACTGACAAAACCTACTATATTATGTTTGGTGGCAGAGCAGGTGCTGCGCAACTTAACATTAAGATTGACAACACTCTAATTGCCAGACATAATGAGGGCAAATTCCTTGGCCTATACCTCGACAACAACCTGAATTTCAGCACCCATATCCAACACATAACAAAAAAAAGTATCCAAAACAGTTGGGATCATCTCCTAGATACGATACTACGTGCCGCAAAATGCCCTTCTCACACTATACCATTCACTCATTTATCCATACCTCACCTATGCTATTTGTGCTTGGGGATCAACTGCAGCAACACACCTAAAGCCAATAATAACTCAACAAAAAGCTGCAGTAAGAATAATCTTTAAATCCCATCCCTGGTAACCCCCCCTCCCCCACTCTTCATAGATTTAAACTTACTCCCTGTTCAAAACATCCACACTTACTACTGTGCAATCTACATAATACAGGACCTTAAATTCCAATATTAACCTTGACCTCAAATGCTTTCTTGATAGTTGTGACAGGACCCACAGGCATAACACCAGACACAAACATCTCTACGACATTTCCCATGTCCGACTAAACCTTTACAAAAATTCAATGTATGTCAAAGGCCCTAAAATCTGGAACACCCTACCTGAAAACTCTAGAACTGCAGACACATTCATCACCTTCAAAACTACCATTAGAAAACATCTTATCTCCCTGATACACCCAGTCAAATAACTACATGTAAACCACCTGGTGGTTCACACTTACACTCACTCACCCATTCGACTATAAGCACAGAAATACGTATCCTAATCTTAAAATAATGATTCCTAACTAGTCATAAGTTTGCCTGTGATACTCAAATATAGAAACTATGTATTGTGCCACAACAAAAGCATTCACATTGCTAAACTCACAAACCAGTATTTAGTCACTTAGTATTTAGTCAACTTACTCCACAATTTGAAATAATTTAGGGTTAAGAATTAATCTAAGTTTGCCCGAAATGCCTAGCCATGCTAGGTGTTCTAGTGGCCCCCTCTGTAATTAGTATTTTATTCCATGTAAACCACACAATAACCAAAATCTGTAAACCCCGCACTGTAATCCTTATAGAGAATAAACTTTGATTTGATTTGATTTGATTAGATGGCCAATACCAACACTGGAAGACAAGATGAAGGAAAATTCTTGAGTATTCATCTTAACAGTAAGCTTAAATTTAACAAATACATCCTGTGCATAGCTAAGAGTTTCCAAAACAGCATGTGCTCGTACCACAACCAACACTAAATACTCTGTACTACTTTAACTTACTATTACGTTACCTATGGTATAATTTCATGGGGATCTACATTAGAAAGCCATCTAAAACCAATCATAACCCTACAAATAACTTATTAAAACAATCACTCAATCTAATTCTGGACAATAATCACCCAGTTACATATTTAAATATTTGAACCTACTAAATGTACAATGTACCCGAATATACTATTGTGTATACATGTATTACATACAGAGAACAAAAAACAACAGCTATTTTGTGTAGTACCTTAACAACTTGGCCATCTTCTGTGGGTACAACTGTGACTTGTCCAGCTAAAGAGGCATAGATGTACTTGTTGAAGGTGTAGGTGCCTTCACCTGCCAGAATGTTACCACTTACTTCACATATTCTCTGTCCTGGCACACAAACAATGTGTCCATTACCAGACTTCATGATGCCTGCCAAATTACCTAAAATAAGTGAAGTTTTATTATTAATAATATGAAAGATAAAATTACATTTAATCTTCTGTACTAGATTTCAACCAATTAATAGGAGCTATGAAGCTGAACACTTACCAAAGCTGTGGAACTAACAACCTCATACTTACTTTAAGGTTAATGGACTGACTACCTCATACTTACTTCAAGGCTAAGTGACTGATCCCCTCATACTTATTTCAAGGTTAAAGAACTGATTACCTCATAGCTACCACTTCACTACTAGTGTTGTCTCCAGCAGGTGAGGTTATATGGGAAATGACACTTATGTAGAGTTCAAGACATTTATTAAAGGAAACGTTTTGCCAGAAGTGAATTTTTCAATATTATTACTGAAGTGGCCAGTAGTAACAGCCTGGTTGATCAGACCCTGATCCATCGTGAGACCTGGTCTCAGACCGAGCTGCGGGGGCATTGACCCCTGAAACCCTCTCCAGGTAAACTTCAGGTAAGCCACTGCTCGTGGCAAAACGTTTCCTTTAATAAATGACCTGAACTGTACACAAGTGTCTTTTTCCACATCTTGTCGGTATCATCATACCAATTCTCTGGTTAGGTTATATATCTCTATTTCAACTGAAGAAACCTGCTGAGCAGGCACAGTGCCTCAGCACCGAGGATGACAACTGTTGCAGATGTGCCTTATTTGTATAACTGTTGGTATTGTATATCATTAATATGAAAGTTATTGCTTGCCAATAATTTTACTAAATTTATCGACAAGAGAACTCTTTGCCAGTAAGAAATTATAGTTAACTTCTGACTAATCAACATAAAGCCTGAGATCACTGGCGTTCAGATGAAGTTGTTAACCGAATTCTAACAGTATTATATTCAGGGAAAGCGCTAAACCTGTAGTAATGTAGTACCCGGGAAACGGAAGGTAATCAGCTTTGATTCAAGGGTAGCATCAATTCCTTGGATCAGGAGCCTATTATCACCATCAAGGCATCATCTTTGAGAACCCCAACATAAAGCATTCATAATGTTAATCATCTGCCAATACTGTACTAACTGCAGATTTACAGATACTAACTCCAGATCTGTGACACTTGATATTTTCTAAGCTTCTCCGATCACAATGCTGCTTCTTCAGTGTGGCGGTCCTTGTTCTTAAGCTGCTCAAACAGATCGAGTTATTAGCGATGGTTTATGGCCAGCCAAGAATCTTTTGAACACAGTGTATGCCTGTCCATATGTACAGGAAATGGAAAACTTTTTCAGGATAAATGCAGTTTGGAACTGCAAGGTTTCTTCTTGTTGGGTTTATAAGGGCGAGTGACAGCTTACGCTGCATCACGTACTGGTTCCCGCTGTGAGGAGAAGAAAAAGGCATAATACAGTAACTGGAACAATACACAAGTAACCCTCACATTGGTAGGTAAGACACATAGGCAACAGTTAGGCACTTTATTCCGAAACGTTTCGCCTAACTGTTGCCTATGTGTCTTACCTACCAACCTGTCGGTATTGTATACCATTTTAATGTTCAACCCTCACATTGGAGAATGAAACGTACGACGTTTCGTTCGGACTAGGACCATTAACTAGTTGTACATTAACTTGTCACTCAGGAGCCCATACATAAGATCATCGATTGATTATCATGCACTAGTTTCAGTGTGTGTAAGAAAGGTATAAAATACCGACAATATGAAAGTTACGATACATGTGCAACATCTGGATATCTTTATTGTAGACGTTTCGCCATCCAGTGGCTTTATCAATACAGATTCTAGGACATAATTAGAAGACAGTAGAACTATATACAAAAGATGAGGTTATCAGTCCCTCAGCCTGTCAAGTTATGTCCTAGAATCTGTGTTGATAAAGCCACTGGATGGCGAAACGTCTATAATAAAGATATCCATATGTTGCACATGTGTCTTAACTTTCACTTGCTTTAGTCTTGCAAAAAATGGAACCACTGAAAGATGTAAATACCTTTGTAACTTGTCATGATTGTGACCAGATCTACCTGGAGTTCATTACCTTTGTAACTAGATCAGCTATCATAACTTTGGGGTCCAGTCCTTGGACCCATTATGTACCTCTGTAATCTTTTAACTACTACCCACAGGATGGGTAAGGGAGGGGGAGAAAGACACAAAATAAAGCCGAGATTTTTTTTTTATTCGCCGGTATTCTCCCGGCAAATTATTCTCTCGAGAATTATTCTGGGCAGCCCTATAACTACCAAAATACTAAATATGAGGGGGGGGGGATAGTGACACTGATAAACCAACAAAGAAAGAAATTAAAAATTTGGTATACTTAGTGTTACTGACAGAATATGTGAAATCACTGTCATGATAAGACTGAAATTACTGCTTATTGATCAAAACAATGTTATTTCTAAAGAATTACTAGAACATAACTCATGGTACAAGTGAATTAAGATGAAATAAAACCATACCTCGGGTGGGGTTTGAACCCGTGATCAATCTCAAAACTCCAGACCGTCGCGTTAGTCAATGGGACAGATAGCTTCAATAAAGTTCATCCAACTAGGTATATTTCTACACCATAGGAAGGTTAGCATAGGCACCACTGTGACCACAAATGCAAGTTTTTACAGACTAATCTCCCGCTGGCATGACCATGACGAACTCTAGCTCAAGTCCCCTCAAAGCCGTCAACATGACTCATGAAATCGTAATGACACGATTGCAAACAAACCATACCACTGCAGGAGAAAGCACGACTAAGAGACAAACCGGGGTACCAGAATATGTACCTCGATCGAGACAGAACACAAGAGGAAAGGATAATACTGAAAGAGAGTATGAAAATGAAAGGAAGAACGAAAGGAAATGACAAAGATGAGCAGAACCCAGACACAGGTGGAAGGGCAAACACACCCTCCAGAAACACCTGCAGAAGGACTCCAACTGTAACATTCCCAAGGCAACTCAACTGAACAATCTATACCGACACACACACTGATCCCTCTGTCCCCACTACCCACACCACAAACCTCATCCCTACAGCAAATCCCTACAGGAACTCTGTCCCCACCCTCAGCCCCACTGCAACCCTACATAGGCCCCTGCCAGACTCCCACTCCCCCAACCCCAATCTTCTCCCAGGACCACAGTTTTAGAAAAGAAGTTGAAGGTTTGGTACATGAACGCAGATGGAATAACAAATAATTATGAGGAGTGGCATGAAAGAATCAATGAGAAGTCCCCAAACATCATAGCAGTCACAGAAATAAAACTCACTGAGACAATAACAGACACAATCTTCCCACCAGGATATCAGATCCTGAGGAAATATAGGAGCAGAGGGGAAGGAGGGGTTGCACTACTCATAAAAAAGCGATGGAGATTTGAGGAAATGGAAGACATGGACGAGATTGGAGAAAGGGATTGCATAGTAGGTACACTTCAGTCTGGGGAACATAAGGTAGTCATTGCAGTGATGTATAATCCACCACAGAACTGCAGGAGGCCAAGAGAGAAATATCAAGAGAACAACAGAGCAATGGTGGACACACTGGCTGAGGTGGCAAGAAGAGCCCACTCGAGCAGAGCAAAGTTACTTGTTATGGGCAATTTCAACCACAAGGAGAATGGCTGGGAAAACCTGGAGCCACACGGGAGTCCTGAAACATGGAGAGCCAAGATGATGGATGTGGTACTGGAAAACCTCATGCATCAACATGTTAAGGACACTGCCAGAAAGAGAGGGGAGGATGAACCAGCAAGACTGGACCTCATGTTCACCCTGAGCAGTTCAGACACTGAGGACATCACATATGAGAGGCCCCTTGGAGCTAGTGATCACGTGGTTCCGTATTTTTAATACATAGTAGAGCTACAGGTGGAGAGGTTAACAGGAGTTGAATGGGAAAAGCCAAACTATAAAAGGGTATGAGGAACTTCCTGCAGGAGGTTCAGTGGGACAGAGAATTGATAGGAAAGTCAGTAAATGAAATGATGGAATATGTAACAACAAAATGCAAGGAAGCAGAGGAAAGGTTTGTTCCCAAGGGCAACAGAAATAATGGGAAGACCAGAACGAGCCCCTGGTTTACCCGAAGGTGTAGGAAGGCAATAGAGAATGGAAAAAGTACAGAAGGCAAAGAATCCAGGAAAATAAGGAGATTAGTCGAAGAGCCAGAAACGAGTATGCACAGATTAGGAGGCCCAGCGACAATAAGAAAACAACAAAGCATCGAAAGTCAAGTCTGACCCGAAACTGCTGTATAGCCACATTAGGAGGAACATAACAGTCAAAGACCAGGTGATCAGGCTGAGGAAAGAAGGTTGGGAACTCACAAGAAACGATCACGAGGTATGCGAGGAGCTCAACATGAAATTTAAGGAAGTATTTACAGTAGAGACAGGAATGGCTCTGAGAAGACAGCACAGAGGGGAACACCAACAGGGAATATACCAACAAGTGTTGGATGACATACACACAACTGAGCAGGAGGTGCAGAAGCTGCTAAGTGACCTTGATACTTCAAAGGCGATGGGACCGGACATTTCCCCGTAGGTCCTTAGAGAAGGAGCAGAGATACTGTGTGCGCCACTAACCACAATTTTCAACACATCCCTTGAAACTGGGCAACTACCTGAAGTATGGAAGTCGGCAAATGTAGTCCCCATTTTTAAGAAAGGAGACAGAAACGAGGCACTAAACTACAGACCAGTGTCACTGACGTGTTTAGCATGCAAAGTCATGGGGAAGATTATCAGGAGGAGAGTGGTGGAGCACCTGGAATGGAACAAGATTATAAATGACAACCAGCACGGATTCATGGAAGGCAAATCCTGTGTCACAAACCTTCTGGAGTTCTATGACAAAGTAACAGAAGTAAGACACGAGAGAGAGGGGGGTGGGTTGATTGCATTTTCCCGGACTGCAGGAAGGCCTTCAACACAGTTCCTTACAGGAGATTAGTGCAGAAGCTGGAGGATCAGGCGTGTATAACAGGAAGGGCACTGCAACAGATCAGAGAATACCTGACAGGGAGGCAACAACGAGTCATGGTACGTGATGAGGTATCACAGTGGGCGCCTGTGACGAGCGGGGTCCCACAGGGGTCAGTCCTAGCACCAGTGCTACTTTTGTTATATGTGAATGACATGATGGAAGGGTTAGACTCTGAAGTGTCCCTATTCGTAGATGATGTGAAGCTAATGAGAAGGATTTAATCAGATGAGGATCATGCAGGACTACAAAGAGACCTGGACAGGCTGGACACGTGGTCCAGCAATTGGCTTCTCGAATTCAACCCTGCCAAATGCAAAGTCATGAAGATTGGGGAAGGGCAAAGAAGACCGCAGACAGAGTATAGGCTAGGTGGACAAAGGCTGCAAACCTCACTTAAGGAGCATAACACAGAGCACGTCTCCGGAGGCACACATCAATCAGATAACTGCTGCAGCATATGGGCGCCTGGCAAACCTGAGAATAGCATTCCGATACCTTAGTAAGGAATCGTTCAAGACACTGTACACTGCGTACGTCAGGCCCATACTGGAATATGCAGCACCAGTTTGGAACCCACACCTGGTCAAGCACGTCAAGAAATTAGAGAAAGTACAAAGGTTTGCAACAAGGCTAGTTCTGGAGCTCAAGGGAATGTCCTATGAAGAAAGGTTGAGGGAAACCGGACTGGGGACACTGGAGGACAGGAGGGTCAGGGGAGATATGATAACGACATATAAAATACTGTGCGGAATAGACAAGGTGGACAAAGACAGGATGTTCCAGAGATGGGACACAGAAACAAAGGGTCACAATTGGGAGTTGAAGACTCAGATGAGTCAAAAGGATGTTAGGAAGTATTTCTTCAGTCTTAGAGTTGTCAGGCAGCGGAACAGCATAGAAAGTGACGTAGTGGAGGCGGGAACCATACATAGTTTTAAGATGAGGTTTGATAAAGCTCATGGAGCAGGGAGAGAGAGAACCCAGTAGCAGTCAGTGAAGAGGCGGGACCAGCAGCTATGAATCGACCCCTGCAACCACAAATAGGTGAGTACAAATAGGTGAATACACACACACGTGTAAAGCGAAAGCTTTAGCCACCAGGCCACGAGGCACCCAAATGATTGTATTCCTTACTGTACTGTGTACAACAAGTATATGAAGTAATTGTAAAATACGAAATGACTAACATTCCTTTCTAGTGATGTAACATTGTGTTCAGTGGGTCTATTAATAAATCCCTTTGAGGGGCAAGGCAGTCTAAAGTGTGAATTTGAAAGTGATTTCCTATGAGGGGATAGAGCCACTCAATGTAAGGTCACTGAGACCATCCAAACAGAGTTGTGAAAGTAACATCTCGCGCAATTGCAGATATTCGAAGACCGAGTATATTCGGTCCTGCCCGTTTGGGGTATACCATTTTTGAATGTTGCAATGTTGCAATTGTTGTAAAAAAACCAAATAAATATTTTTTAAATTTTTTATACAAGTAGACAATATAAAAAACATAAATGGAACTTGTTTCTGAACAATTTGTAACCATAAAAAAATAGAAATAGGAACTACTTATCAACAATGACACATTGCATGGGATGCAACTTACAAATGAAATATTCCTGAGTTCCCTGAGAAAGAACAATCATTTCACATCACTAATTTTGCAAATGAAAATTCATGAAACAATTTCTATCCTTCTTTATGCACAGATTTTTCTTTACATATGGCACAGCAAAAATGAGGATGTGACATGATTATTCTTTTTGCTGCAAAACTTGCATGAAAGCAGCTACCTAGCACTGGCCAGTGACCTAGCTGTTTATCCAGCCTCACAAATGTCATCTGGCCTTTTCTGCACGTTGGTACTGAAATGCAGATGGGTATTCCACGTTTGACAAATCGTCATTACTGTCAACCAAAGAAGTATGGGTGAATCTCGACTTCGTCTCATGCTGGTGCGGTTGACCTTTTGTCCTTTGGATCTTGCAGTGACAGAGATCTCAAGCCTGAATAGCTTCAGTGGTGTGCATGGCATGTTTAGTGACCTCCCAATCACGACAGTAAAGAAGCCATGCATTAAACAACAGCAACACCCCAAAACATAAGCAAAGAGCCGCATGTACCAACGCTTTGATTTCATTGGCGTTTTGTAAAGATGGACCAACATGTTACTTTTGTCGATACCTCCCATGTTTGCGTTGTATTTTCTTGATGATGCCGGGGCACTCAAAGTGGTCTTTCTTCTTTGATCCCTTGTCATATCTTCAATAAGACCCAAAGGATAAACTCCGACTTTCATTTGTGACTAGAGTCACAACTTTGTTGTCCTTCCATCTTACAAGAAGGATATCATCATTGCTTTGGAAATCAAAATAGCCCTGGCCACATTACTCTTTTGCATTTCTTTCACAGGCATCAGTTGTGGCCCTTACCACATCTATTACACGTATTGTTCCAGTGTACCTGCAGTTATACTTGTCTCTCAGTACCTTGACCAAAGGTAGACTTGAAAAGAAATTATCAGAAATAGACTGCTGATGTTTTTCTTTGGTCAAGAGATGCTGCAAGTACAAGAACAATCCTGGAACTCATTGGGAGGTTACTTTCTTCATTTAAACAGCTTTATGTGATGGTTCTCAAAAGTTGGGTTACCTTGATACATCAGTATATCATGTATGATTCCATCTTCACTGGCACGACAGAAGAGTTTGAAACCCACTGTCTGGTTTTTTTTTGATGTATTGCCTAGGTTTCCAGCTGTTTTACCCTTGAAAGCAACCATAACTTCATCAACGGGACTGCTTGGGTGTAGCTGGAACTTTCAAGCAAGCTTTAGTTAGTCCATTGTAAAGAGGCCTTATTTTGTAAAATCTGTTCATTATCCTTCTTTTGGTGTGTTATCTTTAAAATTTAAATGGTACCCCCCTCAGCAACCTAAACCTCTTTGACCCCATGACTTCTGCAACTTGAGTTACCTACTTGCACTTCTCCAATAGTCCTCAATGGAGGGCTGTACAGTGTAACCCATATGCAACAGAATACCTATAAACCTATCATTTCCTCAGAATCTGTTTGAAAAGTAGTATGTATGTCTTTTTGCCTGGCATACAAATTAGTTTGAATGTAATGTTGTCTATCATGTCTTGAGTAAAAAAGTCTGAAAAATAATCATATGCACACCTAACTTCAACAGGCTTTATATGTTGATATTTAGGCAAAGGGTCAGTTGGATGTCCTCATTTTTTCCATTTGGTGTCTCCTTGAAAGCAAGATCATCTTGAAGCACTTCTTCATCAGGGTATTCCTCCATAGTAATACTTTTCTTCCTCTTGTTCAATTTTTTTTTTTTTTGGTGGTGGCCCAGCTTCCTCCTCCTCATCTGTTGACACCTCTGCATCTGGTGGCAAGAATTCATCCCCATATCCAGGAAATCCAGGTCTCTGAGTCTTGACTGAGTCACTATCATCCCAAACACAGACAAATTTCGACTTATCCTTGGAGGACTCACCGTAGAACAATTTCTTATTGATCTGGAAGGACAATAAAACATTCTGTACACAACCCAGACCATTACTGAATTCATATATACACTACCAAAATTTTTTGGGAAAAATTTATATACCGAAACTTGAAAACTGCACCCCAAAAGGGCAGGAACGACTGTACTTGTCCTATTTTGTTGCACTTTTTCATTTGCATGGTGCACTCGTAATATGCTTCACAACGCCTTCATATATATATCAAAATATGGCTAAACTATTCATTTACACACTAGACACACAAATCAGTACTTACCGACATTGTATTTGGGGGAAATGCTTCGTTAATATAAGGAGCACTCAACCGAGAAACACGAGTTTTTGCGCCGGCAAGGTAGAAGTGTTTACATTCTGCTCTCTCGACCAATGGGAATCGGGCAGCCGCCATCACCGCTCAGCTGGGGCGACTCAGGGAAGGTCTGTGATTGGTCAGAAATAGAGAATGGGAACCTAGATGCGCTGGGGGAGTCGGAGGACGTGCGCAAAAAACCACGTTTTGAGGACCGAGTACACTCGGTCCTGCCCGGTAAAGGGCGTTGTGACCGTAATGCTACTTTTGCGCTACCGCTCATAGGATGAGCTTGGGGTGCACAATGAACTAGCCGCTCAGGCGACACAACAACTAAGTAACAGCAGTAAGTAGGTATTTAAGTGTTAGCCGACTGTTGTGGGCTGCATTCTAGGGGGACAAGATTAATCTGGGCTTCCGTAAATGCTCTGCATAACAAGAGGCTTTCTATAAAGTATGCCAAGTGTGTCAACTAGGTCTGCATCACCAGATAACTCGCATATAGGAGAATGAAACTTATGGTGACGTTTCGATCCGACTTGAACGAAAACGTCGTTATAGGTTTTATTCTCCTATGTGCGGGATATTTGTATATTGTTCCAGTCGCAGTATTGTGCCTTTTTATTCTTTAGATCTATAACATTACCAAGGATCCCAATGGAAATAAGTCACTCTGTCTGACTTTCTTGGGTTATCCCAGGTTCTCTACACATATGCTGCTATATATGATAATACATGTAGCTGTATTTGTGTTAACCTGAATAAACTTACTTAATTCCAAGAATGTGGACTCGATAAGACGTACGCTGTGGTGGCCCCTTACTACCCCCATCAGCAATAACAAGCTGTGGTGGCTGCTGTTCTCCACATGGTGATTCTCACATCTAGGACTCGCCTATATTTTATTTCATTTCTTTTCGATTTTTTTTTTTTTTGCATAGAAGGAATCAGGAAGAGCGAGATATACTGAACGTTTGAGCATAGCAGCTGGCGTTAATGTAACACAATGCCTCGCCGGAAAATTGTGAGTTTATAGACAGTTGGGTTTTCCAACTGAATAATAATAATTTTTTTTTTTATGCAAGTACAGGCACAAGGTATACAGGCCTAGCTGACATACTACTGTATAGAAAGACCCTTGTTATGCAGAGCATTTCGGGAAAATTAGGTCAAATTTGCCCCAGGATGCGACCTACACCAGTCGACTATCACCCAGGTACCCATTTTACTAATGGGTGAACATGGACAACAGGTGTCTTATGGAAACACATCCTAATGTTTCCAGCTGTATCAGGGATCGACCCCCGGACCTCAGTGTGTGAGATGAGTGCGCTAGCAATCGAGCTGTGTCGATCCCATTTTAGCCTTTATGTTTTAGCTATTGCCAGTGATCATAATAATAATAATAATAATAATAATAATAATATGTACTACTAACAATTTTATTTCAGCATGATACAATGTTTGTACAAAGGAGAATAACATTTGGGTGTACATGCTGAAAGCCCCTTTATATGTAGAGTATTTCAGGCAAACTTAGACTAACTTAAGATTAATAAGGCACTAACTGAGTAATTTTGTGCATACAGTTACTCAGGTGTGTGTAATTGTAAGCTAAGGAGTTTACAATGAATACAAGAGTATTAAATATTCCATTAGTTCATTCTCTACGGCTTTAATATATCTGATAGAAAGGAATTACAGGTTTGATTATTAACCTAAAGTAGACACAGTGAATTGTTTAATGTTTGAGATGATTACAGATATTGAGAGTAAGCATATTGTGAATATATATAGTGGTACCTCGAGTTTCGGCCATAATTTGCTCCAGAAGGCTGTTCGAGTGCCGTTACCGAACGATTTGTTCCCATAAGGGATAATGTAAAATAGATTAGTCTGTTTCAGACCCCCAAAAATACTTTCAAAAGCACTTACATTACTGATGACATGAAATGAATTATGGATATGGATTGCAGGATATGAAAAACACTATAGATTGAATAGTTTTACTTGGTGATTATGATTTATGTAATGAGTAATGATAGTGTAAATTTGTGGTTTATTTCTAATGGGGCTCTTTGATCCTTTTCTACATGATGCAAAACAACTGGATAACACCCAGGTACCTGTTTCCTGCTCAGTAAACAGACATTGTATGTTAGAAGACCTGTCCATACAATGTTAGTTTAAGCAGTATTATTTCATTTAAATAATGTGAATTATTATGTTTTCCTGAACAGGGTCGTTTGTCTAAGCGCAATCGCATTGAAGCCAGAGCCAAACAAGCACTGGAGGCAAAACTTCCTCAGTGTTTCATCATTGCTCGAGGAAATGTTGGGAAAACTGTGAAGAATCTCACAATGGATTTCCGGAAAGTGATGGAACCGAATACAGCTTCCAAACTCAAAGTAAGTCTTAACCCTTTCAGGGTCCGTGCTGTAGATCTATGGCTTTACGTTGAGGGTCCAAACCGTAGATCTACGCCATGAGCTCAGCTCACTCTGATAAGCTGTGAGCGGTAAATTTGGGCCTAGATATGAGAGAATACATCTATGTGGTATGTGTGCACCACATAAAACAAATCCTGCAGCACACAGTGCATAATGAGAGAAAAAAAATTGAGACCGTAATTTTTGATTAAAACAGCAAATTTGCAGTGTTTTTTGTATGTTTTTTATAGTTATATTTGCAATTTCTTGGTCTCATTTGATAGAATGGAAGATATATTACAGAAATAGAGATGATTTTGATTGGTTTTAGTACTGAAAATGGCTAGAAACTAAGCTGAAAGTAGCGGAAATGTTAAATTTTTACCGATGTTCAAGCGTAAACAAATGACCTCACACGTCTAATAAACGCCAGTTGGTGGGTTTAATATACGTTCACAAATGTGCTGATATTATTTATACAATTATTACAATATTGCATTACAGTAAATCTTCTATTTTTTGGTTTGAATAAAAATTCATTATGTGAATTAAAAATCAAAATGGAATTCATTTGTAAAGCCTGAAAATGTAACTAATGAATAGAGGAAATGTTAGTTTAGTGCTAGGAATGCCTGCATTGTTTATTCTGGACCCTATTTTGAAATTGGAATATTTTGAACTTTGCACTAAATTGGCCAAATTACCAATTTCAAATCACTTTATTTTGTAGTTGAAGCAGTTGAGTTGGCGATTTCTTGTGCTCAGTCGATAGAATAGAAGTAATACTAGTGAAATAGCTAAGAATTTTGTGGACTGGAATAAAGTAATTGCCCTAAAATGGGAGTCAAAGTCGGCAAAATCGCTGATGCATAAATATCGCTAACACATCAAAATTCACGAGAACATAATTTTGTCAATTTTCCATCAAATTTTCTACTTTTTCTTTTATTTATTTATTTTTTTTTTTTTTTCAACAAGTTGGCTGTCTCCCACCGAGGCAGGGTGACCCAAAAAAGAAAGAAAATCCCCAAAATGAAAATACTTTCATCATCATTCAACACTTTCACCACACTCGCACATTATCACTGTTTTTGCAGAGGTGCTCAGAATACAACAGTCTAGAAGCATACACATATAAAGATACACAACATATCCCTCCAAACTGCCAATATCCCAAACCCCTCCTTTAAAGTGCAGGCATTGTACTTCCCATTTCCAGGACTCAAGTCCGACTATATGAAAATAACCGGTTTCCCTGAATCCCTTCACTAAATATTACCCTGCTCGCACTCCAACAGATCGTCAGGTCCCAAGTACCATTCGTCTCCATTCACTCCTATCTAACACGCTCACGCACGCTTGCTGGAAGTCCAAGCCCCTTGCCCACAAAACCTCCTTTACCCCCTCTCTCCAACCCTTTCGAAGACGACCCCTACCCCGCCTTCCTTCCCCTATAGATTTATATGCTTTCCATGTCATTCTACTTTGATCCATTCTCTCTAAATGACCAAACCACCTCAACAACCCCTCTTCTGCCCTCTGACTAATACTTTTATTAACTCCACACCTTTTCCTAATTTCCACACTCCGAATTTTCTGCATAATATTTACACCACACATTGCCCTTAGACAGGACATCTCCACTGCCTCCAACCGTCTCCTCGCTGCTGCATTTACCACCCAAGCTTCACACCCATATAAGAGTGTTGGTACTACTATACTTTCATACATTCCCTTCTTTGCCTCCATAGATAACGTTTTTTGACTCCACATATACCTCAACGCACCACTCGCCTTTTTTCCCTCATCAATTCTATGATTAACCTCATCCTTCATAAATCCATCCGCCGACACGTCAACTCCCAAGTATCTGAAAACATTCACTTCTTCCATACTCCTCCTCCTCAATTTGATATCCAATTTTTCTTTATCTAAATCATTTGACACCCTCATCACCTTACTCTTTTCTATGTTCACTTTCAACTTTCTACCTTTACACACATTCCCAAACTCATCCACTAACCTTTGCAATTTTTCTTTAGAATCTCCCATAAGCACAGTATCATCAGCAAAAAGTAACTGTGTCAATTCCCATTTTGAATTTGATTCCCCAAAATTTAATCCCACCCCTCTCCCGAACACCCTAGCATTTACTTCCTTTACAACCCCATCTATAAATATATTAAACAACCATGGTGACATTACACATCCCTGTCTAAGACCTACTTTTACCGGGAAGTAGTCTCCCTCTCTTCTACACACCCTAACCTTTTCTTTTATTACCTTCAGGAAAAGATTCTCTACCATTTCATAAGAAAAAATAACAAAATTATTTTTTGAAGATTCTTGGACACTGGTGCACACTTTGAAATTTGGCCTCTGGACCCTGAAAGGGTTAAAGCATTAATTAGAAGATAGCCATGCATAGTGCATAAAATAAGTTACCAGGTTTTATCTACATGTATGTATGGCTTTGACCTTTAATTTCTAATAAAGCACATTAACACCAGTGACAGGTATGATGCTTTTAAATAAGATTTGTAACAGTCCATCAAAAATGTTAGAAGGAGGCAGTAAAGCAATTATAAAAAATTATAGACTGAATATGTTGTCTCACATTATTAAAATAATTGAAAGGGTTTCAAGGTTGCTAATTAAATAAAATCTCAATTGGACAACCTAGGGGAATATGGGTTTAGAGCAGGTTGCTCTTGCCTCTTAAAATTGCTGGATGCACTGAAAGACAAGTAAGGTGCAGATGAAGTGTACACAGACTTTGCAAAAGCCTTAAAAAAATCTACCCATAGTGTAATATTGCTCAGAATGCATGTAAATGGGACAACAAAAAATGGGCAGATGGCTATTTACCTTCCTAACAAATAGAACCCAGGAGTAAAGTAAAGAGAGTGAAATCATTGTCTGCCACAGCAAAAAGTTCTGCTACCCAAGGCACAGTACTTGCCCCAGTCCTCCTCATTCTCATATCTGACATAGACATTACAGATGCATAAATCATAGCAAGAGGTTTGGAAGACCATGCAAAATACCCCCAATAAAAATCAGAGGCACAGTGAATACACTAAGAGACAACTCAATAGTGTAAGGGGATTAAGACTTTGGCATCTTCTGTCTGTGCATAAGGGAAATTACCTGTCTCTTGGCGCTAGGGGCTGTGTCTTGAAAGAAACCCCAGGCTGTCTTTAAGAGGAAACTTGGTAAGTTTCTCAAGTCATTTCTGGATCAATCAGGCTGTGGTGTATGTGTTGGTCTACATGCAGGAAGTGAACTTAGCCATGTTGATAAGGCCAGCAGCAGGGAGGCTGCTGGCCTTATCAACCTTCCTCGCAGAGTCCTTTGCATAGTTCTACGTCATGAGCTCGTATCACTCAGATTAGCTCTGAGTGGCAAATTTTGGCCTATATATGAGAGAATGGGTCTGCAGGGTGAGTTGGTACAATTTAAAAAAACCCTGCCCCCCACAGTGCATGATGAAAAAAGCAAAACTCTAACCATGCATTTAGTGTAAAATAGCAATTATGAGTTGTTTTCTTTGATGGTTTCTGTGGTTTTATTTGCTGTTTCTTGATATCGTTTGAAAGAATGGAAGACATTTTACTGGCAGATGATTTTAGTAGGTTTCAGGACTGGAAGTAGCTTGAAATTGGGCTCAGTCACAGAAATATTCAAATTTTGCCAATTTTCCTGAGGATTTGTAAGGCCCCTTTCACCCCTGGTCTGTTTTATGGGGTTTTAGCAGGTTTGATTCAGTTATTGGTATGGCATACACCATGACCAATCATTTCTGGTTATATTTTATTATTTGGGTAATAGAGTAAATCTATGTTTGTGTGATTATGAATTGCAAATGGAAGACAAGTGTAATGTAGGAGAGGCCTGGGGACATGATTAATCAACAATGGAAATGTTGTTTATTTTGCATGGTTTTTAAATATATTTTTTCATTTTATGTAAAATTGCACTTCATAGGGTAGTTGTAATAGTTGAATGGACACTTTCTTGTGTTCAGTCAATAGAATGGAAAGTATACTAGTGAAATAGCTAAGAATTTGGTCAAATGGAGCCATGAAATTTACTTAAAATGGTACTCAAATTTGGCAGAATCGTCATTGCATAAATTGAACCCAAATTGCAAACTTTGCTCCTGCATAGTTACGTAAGTTTTACATCAAATTTCATACTTTTGGTACCATTGCCTTCAGACAAAAATTCCATACCATTTCGGATTTTTTTTTTTAAGGTAGACACTGGGAGCAATATTAATTTTGGGGTTCTTTTCAGTGAAATTGTTAAATGACATTATATAGTTTTTGTGATTTGCAGATTATTTACTGTAATTTATTTTTTGTTAATAAATCTTGATGTCATGTATTTTTCTAGCAAACCAAGAGAAATAAAATCAAGGACTTTATAGCAGTAGCAGGACTGTTAAATGTTACCCACTTAGTTATATTCTCGGAGACCAGTGTTGGCGTGTACCTCAAAGTGTGTAGACTGCCTCATGGACCTACACTAACTTTCAGGTAAGTTTCACATCACAAGTCTTGCAACATTACATAGCTGCTGATGATGTGAGAGTCTGGTTTATCCAATAAATACAGTAGTAGTAGTAGTAATAGCAGTAGTAATATAAATAACATTTCTCAGTCAGCAGTAATGAAGGTTGGACAGACAAAAGTGGTGCAACTGTAGCAGTGATGTAAATACTGGGTTAATATTTACTGGAAAACAATAAATAAAAAAAGGAAACTGAGTGTGAAAGAATGAAGATCTTCATTAGCTGGAATGTGCAAAAGAGGCAACAAGTTCATTAGTCTGAGTGCCAGAATAACCTAGAACCAAGTGAATGATGACTTTTATAGCTCTTCCAGTGATGTGGCACAGCCATCATGGTATGCAAAGAATGAGGTGTGCATGCGTGTGAGTGTGTGCACATGTGCACAGAACAAGCAACACGAGGATAGAAATCTTTAGCTCTAGATCTTTTGCACTCCTGTTCATCTTCCATTCTTTCACAGGCTGTTTCCTTTTTTTCTTTTATTGCTTTCCAGTACAGTGGAACCCCAATTTTCATCCTTAATCAGTTCCAGAAGGTCGGTCGAAATCCGAAATGGATGAAAACCACAGTAATATTTCCCAAAAGAAATAATGTAAATCCAATTAATTCGTTCCAGACACCCAAAAATATTAAAAAAAATACATTTTATAGAGAATAACTATAGTTTTACATACAGAAAACAATGAGAAATAAATATAAAGCACTAATTTTAATGGATAAATGAACATTTAAATTACTTTTACCTTTATTGAAGACTCTTCTTGGCATAGTCTTTATGAGACCAGCATGCAACTGCCTTGCCTTTTCGCACATTATCACCTCCACAACACTATCTCCCACTAACTGTTTTTCGTTGAGCCACACCAACAACAACTCAACATCTTTGGTTGTTTGCCATCACTACCACCCTCTACCACCATCACTACCACCCTCTACCACCATCACTACCACCCTCTACCACCATCACTACCACCCTCTACCACCATCACTACCACCATCACTACCACCATCACTACCACCATCACTACCACCATCACTACCACCATCACTACCACCCTCTACCACCAATGTTTTGGATGAACGCTTGGAGTATTGCTCACTGAACAAGTGACAGGCAGACTGAGTCATACATGTGAGCGGCCGTGTCCCGAGTGGGTGGACGCATCTGATATGGACGATTTCCAAGCAGAGGTATGAAACCCGGGGTAAAATTTCACCCAAAAAAGTGGTTGAAATCCGTATTGTACTATAGCACCAGACGAAATCTGGGGTTCCACTGTACATACTAACCCGGTATTTACATCATTGCTGCAGTTGCACCACTTTTGGCTGTCCAACCTTCATTTCTGCTGACTGTGGTTGACTTTCCCTCTGTCATGCAGTGCTAAATGATCCATTCATGTAGGTGTTGTGCTTTTTTTGCTTGTACAGTAATAATTTAAAATTATCCAATACTCGCCTAATCCATCAAGATTGGCCAATACCCACCTATAGTGATCATTTAGCACCTCTAATAATAGTAATGATATATATTAAAGAAACATAGTGGAAAGATGAAAAGCAACTATAACTTTTGTTAATGAAAGAGCAAATTAAACTTTAATAATTGAATTTATTTCAAAATACAGTGGAACCTCAAATATCAAACTGCTCCCAACTCAACCAATTATGTAAGTGTATTTTTGTAAGTGCTTTTATAAGTGTATTTTTGAGGGTCTGAAATGAACTAATCTAATTTACATTATTCCTGATGGGAATAAATTCGTTTGGTAATGGCACTCAAACAGCCGTCTGGAACGAAGAAAGTTCGATATTTGAGGTTCCACTGTACAGTGGAACATCAAATATCGAACTTAATCCATTCCAGTAGCTAGTTCTAAAGTTGAAATGTTCGAAAGTCGAAGCAATATTTCCCATAAGAAATAATGGAAATACAATTAATCCATTCCAGAAACCCAAAAATATTCACAAAAAAATACATTTTATAGAGATTACATTATAGTTTTACATACACACAACAACATACATAGTACAATTAGTAATTGATAAAAAATTAAATAAACATATAAAATAGCATTTTTACTTACCTTTATTGAAGATTGTTGATAGCATCTGGAAGATAGGGAGGAGGAGTGAAGTAGGGCTTGCTGTTTGGAAGGGGAATCCCTCTCCATAAAGACTTCAGGTAGCAAAGCCCTCCGGGGTTACTTCCCTTCTTTGTCTTTTAATGGCACTAGGACCAGCTTGAGTCACTGGACCCTTCTCACAAAAAAACTGTCCACAGTCCTCTGTTTCTGGCACCTCTTTAAGATTTCCCTAAAATGGGACATGGTTCTGTCACTGAACTTGTTGCAAAGATGGCTTGTTTCAGCTTGCTCAGAGTGGTACTTCTCAACAAACATTTGCACATCATTCCACTTGGCACAAATCTCCTTAATCTTTGAAGAAGGCACCTCATCCACTCCCTCTTCCTCTTCCTCTGAAGCAAGTTCTTGAGCTGTGGTCTGATACTGTTCCAGATGAAGCTCTTCCAGCTCTTCATTGGTTAGCTCTTCCCTGTGGTCCTCCACCAACTCTTTCACATCCTCACCACTCACCTCCAATCCCATGGACTTGCCCAATACCACAATACCTTCCGCAACAGGCAGAGGATCGGCTGGGTCAGGGTCAGCCTCAAACCCTTCAAAATCCCTCTGGACGACATATTGTGGCCACAATTGTCTCCAAGCAGAGTTCAAAGTCCTGGAAGTCACTCCCTCCCAAGTCTTACCTGTAAGGCTTATGTAGGTGTAGATATTGAAATGATTCCTCCAGAACTCTTTTAGGGTCAACTTAGTGTCTGAGGTCACTTCAGAGCACTTTTCAAACACTACTTTTGTGTAGAGTTTTTTGAGGTTAGAAATGACCATTTTTCCATGGGCTGGAGGAGAGGAGTGATGTTAGGAGGCAAGAACTTCACTGTAATGAAACTGTAGTCCCTAGACAGTAGGTCTACCAATTTTGGAGGATGTGCAGTAGCATTGTCCAGTAACAAGAGGCAATGGAGTGGCAAATTATTTTCTAGGAGGTATTTTTTCACACTGGGGCCAAACACTTCATGGACCCACTCATTGAAAATTTGCCTCATGACCCATGCCTTATTATTTGCTTTCCACAAGACACACAACTTATTCTTAATATCATTGTTTTTCTTAAACACACTGGGATTTTCTGAGTGATACACCAGTAAAGGCTTCACTTTAAAATCCCTACTAGTGTTAGCACAGAACAAAAAAATTAGCTTGTCTTTCATAGGCTTGTGTCCTGGGAGTGCCTTTTCCTCCTGAGTAATGTAGGTCTTCTTTGGCATTATCTTCCAAAACAGGCCTGTTTTGTCACAACTGAACACTTGTTGGGTTTTTTTTCAGTGTCTACATACCACTTAAATTCATGCACAAATTTTTCAGCATCCCGTTTGTCTGAACTGGCTGCCTCACCATGCCTTACAACATTGTGTATGCCACTACGCTTGTTAAATCTGTCAAACCAGCTTCTGCTGGCCTTAAATTCACTATCAGCACTGGTTCCAGGTGTTTTCTTCACAAGATTGGCAGGTAACTGCCTTGACTTTTCACAAATGATTGTCTCAGAAACACTATCACCTGCCATAGCTTTATCCTTGATCCACACCAGCAACAACTTCTCAACATGATCGTCTGTCTGTGGTCTGTTTTTGGTTAGCATATCAACACCTTTTGCAACATCAGCTTCCCTGATTTGTTCTTTCTTTGCCAGGATAGAAGCAGTGATTGGATGATTGACTTGTTTTTCCTGTACATCCTGGCAAGCTCAGTAAGTCACACACTACTCTCATATTTTTGTATTATTTCCTTCTTCACGTCTATGGTGTTTCTCACTTTCTTTACCATCATGGGGGGGTACCACTAGCAAGTTTCTTTGGGTCCATGGTGGCTTATCTCAGAGTCGCACAAGCACCAAACACAGTGAATTAATAGTGAAATGTTTGAATGAGTGAGCAGGTTAGTGTTCACTCAAGCATCAACAAAGCCAGACTGGCTCATGTTGCCTGTGCGGGGATGCGAACAGAGCGAGCAGGCGGACAGGTCCAGTACCCAGCGGTTCAAAAGATGGGGTGCATTTGATAGTTGGGACAAAATTGGTTCGAAAAAACCGGTCAAAACCCAAAGCGTTCGATAGTCGATACATTCGAAACTCGGGGTTCCACTGTAATATATACACGTACTTACTATAAAGTGATTTATTTTGTTTTGTGTAAATCTTGATAGTTTTAATTGCTATAGCAACTTAAAATGGTACATACCTATTTTTTCTAAGCTTACTGTGATATGTAAGCTGGTCGAATAGTGAGTTGTACGAATATTGAATAGATTTTTCCTATGAGAAATAATGTAAATTGGATTAATTCATTCCAGACCCATAAAATTAGCAAGTATAAAACATTTTAAGTGAAAAATGTTGCTTATTTAAACTTGTATAATAATATTTGCATACATAAAATCGTACATGAAAACTATAAAAACAATAAATACGTGAAATAAATGAAAATTTAATTGCACTTTTGGCTCAATGTATTTCTCCATTTACCCTCTTCCATACAAAAAATTTATCTCCATCATAAAGGGACAGAAAAACAAGGTCAGAAAAAATAAATTATTCAGGTTTTGCACAAAAATAGCACATATATATTTACCCCTTTCCATGTAATTTTTTACCCTGAAGGGGTAAATTTACCCTGGTTGAGAATCACTGGCCTAAGAGGAAGATGGAGAGATGTTATTGTTTGGAAAGTGTGTCACCTTTCATAAAAATATCAGGTAACTGCCCATCTGATGTCTTTTCTCTCTCTGTGCAGTAGTACTTGAAGATTAAGGGGATTCACTAGCTTTTGATTTTTTCTTTGCTAATGAAGCTGTCCAATGTTGTCTGCTTTTGATGACTTTACAAAATTTTTCTAAAGTGGTCAACAACATTGTCATTGAACAGGTTGATGCTCTGAGTCACAACAGTAATGTTAGGATGCCATTTTTCCACCAGGCTCTGTGTTTGAGCTCAATGGTAACACAGTTCCTTAATTTCTGCAGTGGAAGTGTTGCCCTTACTAAAGAAATTTCCTCAACCACTTCTTGCTTCTCCTTGTGCAGGTCTTTGAAGGTCTTTGGTGAGCTCATTCTTGTGGTACTCCACCAACTCCACTACATCCTCATTGTCCATTTCCAGACCCATGGACTGGCCCAGAGAAACAATATCATTCACTACAGGCTCTGCCTCAAAGCCTTCACAATCTCTGACTGACACACAATCTGGCTACAATTTCTTCCAGGCAGCCTCCCCATGCCTTACTACACTATGAATCCCTCTCCTCTTTTTAAACCTATCAAACCAGCCCCTACTTGTCTTAAAGTAATCACTTTCACCACTGTTTCCTGGGGTGTTTCACCTAAGATTACTATATAACTGCTTTGCTTTTTCACAAATTAGTGTTTCAGAAACACTCACTGGCCAATTGTTTTTCGTTAATCCACACTAACAAAAGTTTTTTCATTTTTCAGTTATCTGTGACTTTTTCACAGCAAGAATTTTCACTCTTTTTCACCACATCAGTCTCTTTTATTGCCTCTTTAATTTCCAATATGGACAAAATGGTGGATTTCGCCATGCCATATTGAGTGGCCAGTTCCAATATACGTGTTCCACTTTCCCACTTTGCAGTTAGTTCTTTTTTCCCTTTAATTGTTGTTCTCACTGCTTTCCTTTAAGTCTTGTTTGGATCAGTACTCTTTTTGGGGCCATGATTACTTATTTTCAATGAAAATATTTAAAAAACACCACAGAATATCAATGAAATATCAAAAGTTTTACGGAGCTTGTACCAACAATGCTTAATGAGCAAAAGCTGACGAGAGACTTAGCGTATGCAGGGCAGCATCCGAATACCGAGTCAAATTTTTCTCTAAAAAGTTGGGTGAATATCGAGTTGTACTAATATAAGGACATACAGATATTGAGGTTCTACTGTACTCATAAATGGAAGAAATAGCTTGACAAATGTTTTCTTTTCTATAAAGAAAAGAAAATATTATTTATTCTGTATATTCCTAGTGGAGCAATGTCAGGTTATTCTTTTCTATAAAGAAAAGAAAATGGATCAATCTAAAGCAGTTGTATATTCCTGCAGAAATTTTTTTCTCTCTCTTTCACATCAGTATGCTGTGTTGTAGTAAATTTTGTTAAATTCATAATTTTTTTTTTTTTGCAGAATAAACAACTTTGCAAGAAGCAAGGATGTTTTATCACGTGCAAGGAAACAAAATGTATTTAGTGTTCAGTGTGTAATAGGGCCATGCTTCATGACCAATCTTCAGCCTGCGGAGGGAGACCTACACCTGCAGCTCTCAGCCAAGATGTTTTTAGACATGTTCCCAACCATTACACCAAACCAGGTAGCTACTCATCTTTTATGACAAACAAATATTTTATGATGGTGAGTTCAGGTATAAAAGTGTTTTGCATTTTGTCATTAACCCCTTGACTGCCGAAACCCCTAATCCTGAAGTGTCTCCTGGTGTCGAAAAATATAAAAAAAAAAAAAAAATTATTCACCATCAGTACTTACCGAGATATAGAAGCGTGAAGTTGGCAGAAAATGAGCCATGTATGGCATCAGCGGCGACTGCCGCTCACCCGGTAAACTTTGGTTTACTTGTATTCAAAGTTTTCTTGTTTTTTTTTCACTATTTTATTTTCCACATAACTTATGTGGCCTGTGAGACCAAAGTATGGTGCAATGTTCATATATACATTCATTGAATGTCACACAATTAGTATAGCAAAAACACTAGTATCATCATATTGTTTACAAAACTTGTTTACACAAACAATATAAAAAATTGTTTATTACGATTGTTCTATGATATATATACATATGTACAATCACCCAGGTAGTAGGTTGGTAGACAGCAACCGCCCAGGGAGGTACAGTACTACCGTCCTGTCTTTTTTTTCTGTCTCATACACATGCAAGATTTCAGGTACGTCTTGCTACTTCTGCTTACACTTAGGTCACACTACACATACATGTACAAACATATAGTATATACATACCCCTCTGGGTTTTCTTCTATTTTCTTTCTAGTTCTTGTTCTTGTTTATTTCCTCTTACCTCCATGGGGAAGTGGAACAGAATTCTTCCTCCATAAGCTATGCGTGTTGTAAGAGGCGACTAAAATGCCAGGAGCAACGAGCTAGTAACCCCTTCTCCTGTATATATTACTAAATGTAACAGGAGAAACTTTCGTTTTTCCTTTTGGGCCACCCTGCCTCGGTGGGATACGGCTGGTGTGTTGAAAGAAAGATGTACAATCACTGGACACTTTTCTAGAACTGCTGCAGCTTGTGGAATTCTTTGAAACATGGGTGTATGCACAATGGTGTTTTACACTCCTCACACATAAAACGAGTGTCTGTGTTTTTGTGGGCATTTTGTGGTACTGTATGTGCACAGACATAACACCTCACTGAGCATTTTTCTTGAAAGCAGTAGCAGGCAGTGGTATGGGGTAGTGATCAACAGGCCTCAGACGAGAGGGCATGTGTTGATAATTTCCTGGGCGCTGGTCTATTGCAAGCGTTGTTCCTTGGTACTTGAATATTATTTGTCTGATAACTGACAAACAAAATTAACCATACCTGGGTTTCTTGTTGGTCTCCAACTTATACATATAAGCATTCAGCATGGAAATGTCAAGAAGATGGAAAAAGAGTTTTATGTACCACTTATAACTCTTGCAAACACAATCAGCAAACCCAGTCTGCATGGCACATTTGTCCACTAACCACATATTGAGGTTGTAATCCATTACAGCTGCAGATTTTACAATGGGTTCATTGGTCTTTCTATTCTATTTGTCACTGTCTACCATTTCGTGTTGGTGAGCTGATGTCAACATTGTGACATCACGTTTGTCATGCCACTGAAATGCCACAATGTCATTGGCAGCAAACACCTGAACATCACCTCTATGAGTGCCAGCGTCGAACCTGGGCATATGTTTACGATTTCCACGCACTGTGCCACACACATCTGTCATGTTCACTCGCAAGAAATCACTGAGTAAAGGACTTGTGTACCAGTTGTCAGTAATATAAAATACGTATGCCCCTTACCAAGATATGGCTCCATCCTTGTTCTAACCACATCACCAGAGATACCCAGTAACTTCCTGGTATCTTGCAATGTTTTACTGTCAGTGTACACAATTATATCCAAGCCCAGACCACTTTTGCAATCACACAGTACAAATAACTATACCAAAGCATTTCCTCTTGCTTGGTATATACTGCTTGAATGAGATCTGCCTTTGAACAAAATCAAAGGCTCATCAATAACAAGCTTCCTGAAGGGATAAAAATACATACAGCACTTTTGTTTAAGGTACATAAACACATTTCTGATCTTATATAACCTGTCGCTTCTGTCAGGCCTTGTTTTGTCTGAAAAGTGCAGCATACGTAACAGTAGCACAAATCTTTTCACTGGTATAATGTCACTGAAAGCTGGGGTTGAAATCAGGCGGTCTATCGACCAGTATGTGTTGGTACTGTGCTTATACACATGTGGCATAAGCATTATTGTGGCAAAGAACAGATACATCTCTGCCACAGTTGTGTCCTTCCACTGGTGTAGGCGTGATCTTGGTGAAAGAATTGTTTTTGCCATGGTGTACTCAAAGTGTGTATTGCTTTCCCTGACAATAATGTCCATCAGGACAGGGCTTGTTCAGTAGCATTGTTCCCAAGTGTACATGATGGCTGTATTCCACTCTGTTTCATCAAAGCCGTGTAGATTGGGAACAAAATTGTCACCTTGCTGCCAATCCCAGATGCGGTCTGCTGGTGGGTTCTGGATATTGAAAGGTGGTTGTGGTTGTGCAGGTTGTGGTTGTGAATGTTGTGGGAGTGTGGGGTTGGTTGAGGCTGGTTGTGGTTGTGCTGAGTTAGCAGCCTCGGTAGTAGCGTGGCCTGCTGCTGGTGCCACATGACTCATGCCACCACCACTATCACCACCACCATCTGCTGCCTCACTCACATCATCATACCCATTGTAACAATATCGTCATCTTCACTATCAGTTCGTGGTGTAGGGCCACGGGATGTACTCCGAGATTTACTCCTTTCCCTTGGAACAACATATGACACACTACCAGAACACACGCTACGTCATATATACTGCCGCTTCACTGGAGAATATTCACCCTCACTGTTGCAACTAGAACTGCTTTCAATAGCTTTGAAATCACTATCACTATCACTTTCACTGCTCACATCTAAGTCTTGTACACGGGCAAATAGTTTCCTCTTTTGTCCTGGTACAGATGAAGTCTAAGAAATAAGATAGATGAGCTAAGATTACTCGCAAGTGCAGGTAATATAGATATTATTGCTATAACTGAGACCTGGTTCAGCTTGAAGCATAGAGAAATGCCTTCTGAATGCAGCATAAAGGGTTATAAACTATTCCACACTGATAGGGTCAACAGGAAGGGTGGTGGAGTGGCGATGTATGTCAGAGATAATTTAACTTGTTGTATTAGACATGATATAAGAATAGAAACATCGGACACAGAATCTGTTTGGCTACAGTTTCTCGAGGGGTATGAAAAATTAAGTTTGGGTGTGATATACATGTATAGGCCCCCAAACCTTCATAGGGAGTGCAGTAAGCTGCTATGGGACGAAATTCATAAGGCGTCTAGATATGAAAATGTTGTGTTAATGGGCGATTTTAACTTTAGACAAATTGATTGGAACAATTTGACAGGAAATCTAGAGTCTAGTGACTTTTGTGATACAGTTCAGGATTGCTTTTTAAAACAGTTTGCGACAGAACCAACTAGATCAAACAGTCTGCTTGACTTGGTTCTTGCCAACAAAGATTCACTAATTAATGATCTTGAGGTTAATGATGAGCTTGGGGAAAGTGATCACAAATCACTTATATTATGGAATTACCCAGTAAACTGCAATCAAGTCTCTGTTCCAGACTTTCGATTGGCTGATTTCCTGGGACTAAAAAATTACCTGGGTGGGCTAAATTGGGATGATCTGACTATGGGTCAGGTACCTGGTGTTGGTTGCCAATATGACGTTTTTCAGAGCATAGTTCTAGGTGCTCAGTCAACTTTTGTTTTGAGTAGGGAAATTAGATCTAACAAAAATGATCCCAAATGGATGAACAATAGATTAAAACATCTCATAGGTCAAAAGAGAGGCATATATAGGCGCATCAAAAGAGGGGAAGGGCAGTTAAGAAATCAATATATTCAATTAAAGAGAGAAATAAAAAAAAGAATAAGAAAAGCAAAAATAGATTGAGGCTAAGGTTGCAAGGGATTCGAAGACTAACCGAAAGGGGTTCTTTCAGGTATACAGAAGTAAGATTAGAGACAAGATAGGCCCACTTAAGAGTAGCTCAGGTCAGATCACTGACAGTGATAGGGATATGTGTGAAATTTTCAATTCTTACTTCCTCTCAGTCTTTACTCAGGAAGATACTAGCGAAATTCCAGAAATAATAAATTATGTAGAACAGGACGATAAGAAACTATGCACGATTGCAGTAACTAGTGACATGGTCCTCAGATAAATAGAGAAATTAAAACCTAACAAATCCCCAGGCCCTGATGAATTGTTTGCAAGGGTTTTAAAGGAATGTAAAGAGGAACTTTGCAAACATTTAGCTTATCTTTTCAACATATCACTACAAACTGGCATAGTGCCTGATAAGTGGAAAATGGCAAATGTAATACCTATTTACAATGCAGGTGACAGGTCCTTAGCTTCGAACTATAGACCAATAAGCCTTACCTCCATAATGGGAAAATTTATGGAATCAATAATTGCCAAGGCAATTCATAGCCATCTTGATAGGCATAAATTGATAAATGAATCTCAACACGGTTTTACAAAGGAGCATTCCTGTCTTACAAATTTACTAACTTTTTTTTGCTAAGGTGTTTGAGGAGGTAGACCGTGGTAATGAATATGATATTGTGTATATGGACTTCAATAAGGTTTTTGATAGAGTTCCACATCAAAGACTTTTGAGGAAACTCAAGGCACACAGAATAGGAGGAGAAATTTTTTCCTGGCTAGAGGCATGGTTGACAAATAGGCAGCAAAGAGTGCATAAATGGGGAGAAATCACAATGAGGGCACATCACAAACGGTGTTCCACAGGGGTCAGTGTTGGGCCCCTTGTTGTTCACAATTTACATAAACGATATAGATGAGGGAATAAATAGCAACATAAGCAAATTTGCTGATGACACCAAAATAGGCTGTCCAATTCATTCTATTGAGGACATTAGTGCACTCCAGGATGATTTGAATAGACTGATGCAGTGGTCGGAGAAGTGGCAGATGCAGTTTAATATAGTCAAAT